AAATAGATTCATTTTTGTCTAAACATCGGGCATTAGGTAAAACGTGAAAAAACCCGAAACAATTGGGATGGGTTTTTGGGACTGCTTCCCGAATTATTCCCATTTTTATGATCCAAAAGGCACCAGATAACGTTTGAGACCAGATAACGTTAAAAGACAGACTGTACATAAAATGGATTTGAAATCACCTAAAAAACGGGACAACCGAGTTTCCCAAAAGCCGAAAATTAATTGGTCAAGAAACAATTAAAAAAACGAAATAATAATTTTAAAACCAAATGTCGTTCAACAACACGGAAGAACAGCAATTGTTAGAATGGGTACGAAAGCAGTTGCCCACAAGAATTGTATCGAGCGTCACGACCGACTTTCGTGATGGTCATGTTTTTGTCGAGTTGGCTGCCCTAATCACAAAAACTTCTATCCCTAAAATCGAACCAGGTACAACCACACAACAGAAAATGAACAATGTCGATCTTGCGCTTCAAATCGTCACCAACAAATTTGGCAAGCTGGAAGGTGTTTCTATACAATGTATCGTCAACGGAAACAGAGATCAGACACTCGACTTTATCAATCACCTGAAAAGAATCGTTGGATTTGAGAAACTGAAACGGATCCAACAAAATCAGAAGATTCGTAAAGACCTCAAAGCGTTTGAAGAGAAGACTAAGATGATGAGAAACACCGTCAACTTTTCCTTGGTTGAGTCTGGGTCATCTTCGATGTTTGGGAGAAAAAGCGCATTTATCTCAACAAAAAGTGGTGTGGAAATGAAAAGGTGTACGGTTGTTTGTTTGCAGGAGAATGATACTGCAAGACTCTCATTGTTGAGTCCAATCGCAAACTCACAACGATCGGACAAAAGATTTACGATGATGCACAATACCCAAGAATTAACCCACAACGAGCCTCACCCACGAAAACGCGGACAATAGAACTTAAGAAACAAAAGGGGTTGTGCAGAAAAGTTGGTATTCGAAACGGATCATTCGAGTCAAAGAAAGTTGGAGCACCAAATAAAGAGGAACTACTGTTGACAACAAGCAAATTGTCCGCAGAGGGTATCGTTCCACAAAAGAGTAAAGGTGTGATAACGGTCAAACCCCCAGAATTGATCAAAAAGGAGGAAAGTCACCAAAAGAAATCGAGTTTTACAGAGGAAGATGATATCACACTTCCAGAAGAAAACAATAACAAGAAGATGGATGAAATTGAAGACGAGTCGTCGTCGGAACCTTCGGAGGAAGAGTCGTCGTCGGAAGAGAATTATATTGAGCTTGATGATAAGGAACAAAACGAGTTGATGAAATGTGTGGTCAAAAGAGTCGAGAAAGAAGATACAAACGGAGGTGATCCTAACATCAAAAAAATAAAAAACAACGTGTTTAAAGTGAAAAATGTATATTACGTTGTTTCCGATGTTGTCAATGGTGAAAATATATTATCTCCACTGAATTTGTCAGTCGATGCGACTGTGTCGTGTATTCAATCAATTTTAAGAACAAAAGTTTTATCAAAGACGTTTTCTATTGAAATAAAAAAGGAACAGAAAAACATCCAAGACATATCGAGAAAGGCACAGAAACATATGCAAACATTCATAAAAGTTCAGGCTATGGCCAAAGGCTATTTCTTTAGAAAAAGCAAGTTAGCACGAAAAATGAAAGATTTGAAGTATGCGGTTCGTGAAATTGTTGAGAGTGAAAGGTCATATTTCAAAGATTTGAATATCATTCAGAAAATGATTGACAAAACGCTGGAACTATCACCAAAGAGTGACATTGTACACCAAGCAAAACTTGTTATTGGAACAATGATAACATGCAACTCGATGCTGTTGAAGACATTAGAAGAAATGATTAAAAAAGATCCATTTGGAAAGACACTTCATTTATCTTTTTCGACATTCACTAAATACTTGACATACTACACAACGTATATGAACATTTACCTTCCACTCAAAACGTTTTATGAAAGCGATTCTAACAAAAGTATTGTCAAAACTATTTCAAAACACTTTTTGAATGACTTGGAACCAGACAATTATTTAATGAGGCCAATTCAGCGCCCTCCTCGTTATAAGTTGTTGATGGACGCAGTCGTTTCGGCACTTCCCGAATGGTGGCAGAACCAAAAAGAACTCAAGACGTGTTCTAACACTTTGAGGGAAGCCGTTTTTCATTTGAACACGTGCATGAAGAAGAACAATGATCAGAGGGCCGTTGATGAACTTCTCTCGAAACTTTCATTTCCAAAGAAGTTTCTTTTGGAAAAGGATACTCAGAGAAGAATTGTGTATCAAGGGTTTTTGTCGCGCAAACAAAAGGGGAAGAAAGACGACGAGTTCTGCTGTTTTCTGTTCAACGACTATTTGGTGTTTGCAAAAGTTCGGAGAGAAGACGTCGGGGATATTCCAAGTGAGACACTAAAAAACAAGAGCAAAGTCTATCACGTTATTGATATGCGGCAAGTCACTTTGATGGATGTTCCAAGCGAAGAATCAACGTTTTGTATCAACATTCCACAAAAGTTGTTTTTGTTGAAAGCGGAAAATGAAGATAACAAATTAACGTGGATGCATCAGATTGACGGAGTCTTCGCATTACAACAACAGAAGATGTTGGTAAGACTAAGCAGTCTGAATTCGTCAATACCACCACTTGATATTTCTGTCTTCAATCAAACCGAATACCTCATTCACCCCGACTACGAAGAGACCATCTTTTATTTCAACCAAGCAAATAACAACTGGGAACAGGTGTTCATGATGCTACAAAAGAATGTTGTATGTATGTTTGTCAACGCAGAAGAGGCGGCAACACTCAAACAACCGACTTTGGTATTTGACATTCTTCAACTGAAATTCAAAGGAGTCCAAGTTTCACAAAGAAAATACACATTCGAGGTGTACTACAAAAATTTCACATACATATTTGCTACGAATAACAACAACTGCAAATTTGTGTGGCTTTCATTACTCAGAAATTCGTTTTACACGCATTGTAAAAGTATCATGGACTTGAACTCGTTTGGTATCAACGAGTTTTCAACCGATTTGCTCAAAACATGGACCGTCTTTGATGACATATTGCCTGATATCGATTCGGACCACTATTAGTACATGAGAATGCTCCTATTACAGCCACACAACCCAAAAATGGCGCG